AGAAGTACAGTTAACGGAATATGTAGATAGACAATATAAGAAACTGACATCCTTACTACAGTATGTAAAAGTCCATCAAGCTGGTTACAGGCTATGTCCACTCCGCAATAATAAAGATCATACAAAAACATGTCCATTCTGTAGATCCTTGAGGTAATAATTTGTACGCGATAAGTATAAAGAGGTTTATATGAGCTACTCGAAAACACTGCGAGCCTTGTTAACCATAAGTCCTAGAAACATCACGAGGATGTCTCTTCTGAACGTTCTGGACCATACATCTACCAAACACACGAGGTGTTTCTCGACTTCTGATAACACTCTCTTCAACCAAACACACGAGGTGTTCTCGGATTTCGTTAGGCACTCAACCTTTCGCACCACTATAAATTATATCAACATTAATTATGGTCCGGTTCATTTGTCATCGATACTCTGGGCAGAATAAAAATGATTACCAGTTGTACGAAACACGCAATTCCCAAAGAATAGTCATTAGTTTGCGGGCCCAAAAGTTGATTAAAATGTACTGCATAGCCAAAGTATTCATACCTTAATTGTATGTCTGGAACTTTTAAAATTATTATTTCTGATTGCAAGATGTAATATTTGATATACCAACTTTTTTTGGGTCTCGAGAGATGAATGGAATATGCTGTAGCAATTACATTAATGAACTCGGAGGAAGAAAGAAGTACAGTTAATGAATAAAGTACGTACGTACGTACGTGTGTGATGGGGAATTGTTATGCATGCATTGTAATACGAAAACGAAATATGCTAAAAAAAAAAACTTTAAATTATTAAATAAATTATTTTTTCTTTAAAAACAATTTTTAAGTTCTGAGTGTACCTGCGAGTATCCTCTTATTGTAATACTTACCCGGTTGACTCTGATGTCATTTTTTGATCGAGTCCAATCTTTGTATTTTCCGAGTCCGGAGGTTTTAAAAATTAAATTTTATAATTTATATACAAAAGGTTTTTAAAAAAGCATATACTGTACGTACTGTACAAATTAATTCCATCTCTGATTAGATCCAGTACGTAACAGAAAAAGGTTTTTTTTATAAACAATATATATATAAATATATTTAGATAACTTCAAATAATATAACTAATGTAGCGCGCTACTATAACTTCATAATACATTTTGGCTCATTGTTCTTTGACGTATTGATGAGCGTATATGCGTATATAAATCTATAAGTATATATAGTTGGTTATTGGAATTTGATAGGTGTTCCCAAGCAACAAAGACAATGTTACATTTAATCTAGCGATTTTATCGTTAACGTTATTTTTATAATTTGATTGGATATCAAATTATCAACTTCAAAAATACAATAGCTAAATAAACAAGTTGTGTCTAAGAATAATTTATGTTCAGATCTATGTAAGACACAATTTCAGGCTAACATCTAGTGCCCGGCCCACAATGTAGGTACATAATTGTTAACACTCACCTTACATCCTGCTAACATGCATATAATTGAAGAGTTTGAAATATAAGTTTTTTTATTGGAGACTTCAGAGATCTGTTCCAGTTAAAAATCGAAATTTTTATTTCCCTTTCAAAGGAAATTCACTTGCATGCAATCAGATTTTTACACTATTACGGAAAGTTGTGATGGGTGATCATTTTTTCGGTATCCAATCAATAAAAAATTTAAATTTCCTTGTACAAAGTATTCGAAGTAAAGTGCACGCACATATCGTAAAACATTAATACATACAAATACGTACTTAATATCGCAACATTCGTATATTACAATTATAACTCACGCGTGAATCAACCACTATTACAATACCTTGAATTCTTTTTCAACCCTTGAACTAGTGAGTAATGATTCGGATTTAAGTTAGAGTACTTCCGATTTACGTTTACTGACTCTATATTTTCTGCATTAGTTTATATAAGGGTCGAAAAAGCAATCGCAAGTTTTACTGTCATTACTACTTTAAACAATTCCTTAATGCTTGGCTTAACTAGCGTAATTTGAACGTGTAGCATAGATTTAGACTTCTATTATTAAACTTTCTTTACTTCGTTACTGTATACTTAAAGAGCACATTTTTCTTAACGGGCATACCAATATTTATATTCATCATATATATATTATTTAATTCAACTTATCGAACTTAAAGATGGATACTAGAACTTTTCCGCCAGAATTTCATTCTAAATTAGCAGAGCTGCAAAAAGCATTAGACGATGAATATATCACAAAAAAAGGATTCGAAAAAGAAAAGAATGCATTACTAGAAAAGTATAAAGATTTTACTTCTGTCGAAAACAAGGTTGCAATATCGACGTCTTTCATGCCTACTTCTAATTCAGTATCGTCTGATTATAACGGAGGAGCGTCACTTGATAACGGAAATAATTTACAAAATTCTTACGCTACAAATGGAGATATTAATTTACAGCCTTATAGATCAGAGGATATAAGCAATAATAAACCCAAACATAACCTTTATTTGAATGGTGAAGAACTTTCTTACCCTTCTAATAAGGATATTCCATCATTATCATTTGGTTATCCGAATCAGCATCGTCATTCAAGCAATATAGTAATGCCTTCACATACAAACGTACATTCTCATATTCGTACCCATAGTGTCGATGCAATAGATACTTCTAATCAGAAGCCTGTTTTGGTGTCGCGAAAAACTGATTCTCAACAATTGAACGGATCCAATTTAAATTTTTCTATGACGCCACCTGTACCTCCATCTTTAGATCCTAACTCTTCACGATGGGGAAGTAAGTCATTGCCACCTACACCGGGTTATATGCCAGTACAACCACAACATGGCTATAATTCATCATTACCTTATCATCCTTCACCAATGGGTTATGGCTCAGGTGTGCACCTACCAGGGAGACCTAGACCACCATTACCACTACCACCACCACCATATACGATTCCCTACGCAGGTAATGGTATGTATGGCACTATGCCTCGACCAATGCCTGGACCACATGTTATCAGACCTCAACCACGGCCGGTGCAACATATTCGACCACCTTTTAATAATGATATTCCAATGGCTGGAAGGACACAAAAGCTTATTAACGAAGAACTGGAAATGAGAAGGCCAAGTTTTGATGGTAATAATATTAAGATTTTTTAATTTAATTACTATAATTATTTCATTATATATGACTATATTAATTATTTATTATCTGTTCGATTTCAAGATGATAATGCATCAATTATATCTAGTAAATCATATGGTTTTAGGTTGGATGGTTCAACAAATCAAACCATACCTAGTGATGAAAGATTCATTAAACCTGGAGATATACCTAGAAGAAGTAATTTCTTGTTATATATATATATACATATATTTGAACTAATATAATAATAATAATAATAATAATAATTTTATAATATCTATAACAAGATAATGATAGATTTACATTATACAATCATCCGGTATATATTGATGCCTTAGAAGATTTGGAAGATTTCGATCCAAGTCTTTCAAAATTGGCTGGAAAACAATTCATGCCGTTCGAACCTCGTGAAATCCCTTTTAAGATCACTGATCCATTGAACTCTTCGCAACCTCTTTCAGATTTTTCTAATATAGCTTCGATCCTTCAATACAGGAGTAATAATACTCCAAAAAAGAGAGCTTTTCTAGCGGTTGATCAAAAAGGACGTGAGTCTGGTGATTTTACTTGGGAAAAATTGAATTCGAAAGCTGAAAGAATGGGTCAAATTATAATACGAGATAGTGGATTAATGGTGGGTGAAAGGGTTGCATTAATATATCGTAAAAATGAAATCCTTGACTTTTTAGTTGCTTTATTTGGTTGTTTTTTTGCTGGTGTTGTAGCTGTACCAATTAATGCTGTTGAAAAATTTGATGAACTTTTATTCATACTTGACAGTTCAAATGCTAAATTAGTACTCACAACTAATAATAATTATAAAGTATTTACTCAAGATCTATCAAAACAACAAAAAGAATTACCAAAAAATATATTGTGGTGGAAAACTGATGATTTTCATTCAATGAAGAAAGGTGAAAAACTTGGAAAGTATAATTCTACTGATTTAGCGTACATTGAGTATACTAAAAGTCCTAATGGCGAATTGAAAGGTGTAGTGATAAGTCATAAAACAATATTAGCTCAGTGTAAAGTAACGAGTGGAAGTGTTATAGACAGTAAAGGTCGAAAGCAATTAGGTGAAGGAAGTAAAGAAGCAAATATGTTGACACAAGACACATTATTAACTTATTTAGAACCTAGACAACAAGTAGGATTGTTATTAGGTGCATTATGGGGTGTTTATTATGGAAATTTGACAGTATTTTTGGCAAGTCTTGGACCGGACACTCCAGGACTTTGGATGAATTGCGTTTCTAAATATCAAGGTAATCTATA